TAGAGGGAAACACTTTCTTATCAATACCCTTAACACTCATTATTGTTTCAAAAGCTCTTAGATGAAAATAAGGGTTGTCAGTTGCCTTGAATTTCGGGATGTCGTTGGCATTGAACTTATGCGGAAGAAGTTCTTTATCCACCAAGACCCCTTGTGAACTAATGCCCTGAAATTTATAGTCACTAGATAGCTTGCTCAAGCTTTCTTGCATGAGGTTCATTTGTTGTTGTTTCACAGGGTCATCAATTTTGAGGGTTAAAGCCTTTAACACCTCAGTCACGTCAGTCAATTGACTCCTAAGTTCATTAACTTCCTCTTGAGTTTCCATTATCTTTTTAGCCTTCCTCTTTTGATGAATCGGTTTATCAAAAAGTAAGACTTGAATAAAGAGGTTATCCTTGATTAATCGCCCTTCTCTCCTCAACCAAGTACTGTGGAAAAGGAATTTAGGGATATCCATTGTTAATTGTTTGACTTAAACTTTATTCAACATGAAATGGATAGAAGAAGGTAGAAAAATGAGGGGTGGTGATATGGAGAAATCATGTAGATGGAGAGATGTGAAGAAATTAGGAATAGAATGTACCCCCAACTCAAATGATGGAAAAAACTGACTCATGCATGTACCTAAGACATGGTCATGGTGTGAAAAGAGTATGTACAAAGTGTGTTCTAAGACTAGTGAATGTAGGTGATATGTTAAGACTTGTTTCATGACCATGTGGCTAGACTATGTGACTAGACTCAAGCAAAGACTAAGTTAAGACCTCATGTATATGCATTAAACTGGACATGCTATGGTATTCTAGTCATAACTTTTGATCTGTGACTCTGATTGGGATGAAACCAACTCCAAATTAAAGATAAAACTCAGGGCTACAGATCTATAGGCTTTACAACTCGTATTTCTTCCTAGAACTCTGGATCTGACCAAAACAAGTTGACGCTTGTGCAGTATACGGGAATAAAAATTCGGGTTGACTTAAAGGGACTATGACTCGATTTTAGACATTAGCTAAAATTAATTAATTAAACAAAATCCTTTAATTATTAATTAGTTTATTAAGTCTTAACACAAGTCAAACAAACGGTTAGAAAAAAAAAACACATAGAGTATGCACAACAAATAATGCACAATTAGTCAAGTAGGCACGATATGATGCAATGAGTTTGCAACCTAACCATGGCTCTAGTTCTCTAAAGTTCGGGATATGGTTTAGTCAATAGAGGGTCCATGGTTAATTGTCCGGATTCACCGCGCGGAAGCCTAACCGTGAAGGGTTGGCGCGAGTGGATGGGACACCGCGAGTTTTAGAAAAAACGCGCTTCCATGGTTTAGTGAATACAACAATCTCGGATGTACCCTTTGTTGCTCAGAGCGTTCAATCAGGTAGATGGAGCATGAATTCCCAGAGGGTTATGTCCATATGTAGAACACATATGGGTTTTAGAAAAGTGAGAAAAACTCAATCAAGAAGTAGAATCGAGCAAACAATGCGAAAAACTTGTCGAAATTAGAACGCATATTTCTGGCTCGGTATTGGAAGAATTTGGCGCCAGCAAACATAGATTGGCGTCGGGTTTTAGCTGTAGCGCCTGGCGACAGAACTCTCGTCTGGCGCTACAGTTAAAATTCTGGCGCTAATATTCTGTTCGTTGACGCTAATTCCTACATGCCTCATCAGCTTTCTGTGCTCGAAAATTTTTTCCAGTTTTCGCGCAGTGTTATTTCGGTCCTAGTTGTGAAAGATATTCCTCAAATTTTCTACGTGTAAAAATCCTATGTTTTAACTCATTACGGATGGTCTTTCTAATGGGATCTTTTTTATGCATATGACAATAATGTTAATAAAAATTACGCACATGAAATATTTAGAACGTTTTGAGTCTCATCCACTCATTCTAAATCATTGCCGAAATAAATTTCAGGAGTTAAAATAGAAATCCTCCCCAGTGGAGTCGCCAAAAACTGTAGGGAATATTTCAAGCGTTAACCCCTAGCTCGAACCCCACTGTGATCATACAATAAAGTACGGTGGCGTCCAAAGGGAAAGAAGATAGAGCAAAAGAGTCGCCAACAAGTTTTTTAGGAACTTGTAAACCGTTAACGAGGTGAAGGTTACACCCCTTAACGATCCATGAGATCGTCAACTCCATAAGGTCTTTAACCAAATAGGGTCCGGGGATGAAGGTACAAATCCAACCTAAAAGAGATTGAACCTGCCCTAATAATAGGCCTCTACTTTATTCTGATCGTATTCACGTGCGCTTTTCTGACTAACATGCAATCAATAGGATTAACCCTAAACCTGTTTATCTACGTTGGTTGAATATTAATGCACAAATAAACTATTATTGGTGATCACTTGAATTATAATCATATTAACCCTAAACAAGATTATTAATTATCTTATTAAGCGTGATTACAAGTACAAATTCCCTTTAAACATGCATAAAAGGTGTGATCAAGCAATAAAAATAAATATCATCAAGCAACAAAATAAATAACCATAAAATTAATCATCAAAATAATAATAATTAAAATAATCATAAACATGTTAAAGCATAATAAAAATAGCAAGATCCTAGGCATGATACTAACAAGATTGATAACAAACCCTAGCATGTCACTTAGCAATAAAAATCATATATTTAACCCTAACATGATACTAACAATCATAAATGTTAGGAAGAAAATAAAAGGCATCATACTTTTAATCATACTTGGTATTAAAGTTACCCTAGACATGATACTAGGAATATCATAATAACAACCTAAGCATGATTTCTACATCATAATATCAATTACACAATTAAAGCACTTACTTGGATGCCTTGTACCTCTTTCTAATAACAAAATACACACGTTAGTAACTTCAACGAAAATAATAATCAAAGAATTAAATTAAATAATTAAAGGAGAGATTTGGGACCAAACCCTCAGAAATTAAACCTTTCACATCTAGGGCGAAGGCAACTTCGAATATGGCTAGGTGTATCTAAGTCTAATGAATGCGGAATTTTTATATGTGAGAGAAGGCTAGTTTAGAAAAGAGAGAGAGAGTAATCAAGAAAATCTTGATGAGAGTTGGTGAATCAAAACGGAGTTTTTAGGAAGCTATTTATAGAAAAAATCAGCCAAAAAGATAGAAAATTGAAAACAGAGTTCTGATGCACAAAAAACTTTATTAGCGTCGACGTTGGCAATTAGCGCAAGGCGCTGAAGGTTAGTGCCAGGCGCCAAGCCTTAGCGCCAGGCGCTAATGCTTAGCGTCAGGCGCTAATAATCAATTTGACGCGTTTTTGTTTTTATCATTTCTTTTGATCCAGAAGTCCAAATAAGGCATATAATATGTCGTTGGAAAGTTCTTGAAGTCTACTTTTCAACACTATTAAAATAATAGTAAAATATTTTTTAGATAAAAAGATATTGCCGAAATAGTGGAAGAGTGTCAGTTTTGAATAGAGTTTCATATCTCATTCATATCTTTTTCGTTATAGCTCGGATTTAATATTATAATATATCATTGGAAAGATAATTTCAATACCTATCCAACCATATAAAATTTTGATAAAGATTATGATTCACGAAAATAAAATCGGAATATATTCCACTTCGTACAAAACAAGGATTCTTAAAGGAGTAGTTTTATTCAATTTCAAACTCTTTAAAACATAATTATCAATCCTAACACCATTAGGATTTAAGATAACCTTCTAGAGTATTCTAGAAGACAAATAAATCCTAATAGTTTTAGGAATGATAATTAATAGTAGGCACTCCTCTAGATCATTGCGCCGCATATAAAAACCAAATCGGGCCCAGTTTAGTATTTTGGCCATAACTTCCTCATTATTCATCGGAATTGGGCTTATAATATATCGTTGGAAAGCTCTCTTCAAGTCCTATCCAACTACACTACTATTGGACCCATATCATGGACCAACCAAACTGGATTGGCTGTTTTCTTAAAATAGGTTTTCAAAAATAGAGAGAAGAGAAAAGAAATTAAAACTATCCGCAACACTAAACTTTCCACAGTTTCACTTCATTCGATTATGATTCAACGTGAAAGATACTCATCACTGGGTTTGGTTTTGGGGAGACACAAATGGGTGTCTACATTAGCACTATCTCTCTTGTTGCGGTTGCTGATGAAGGCAGTGGTGTAATGGTGTGAAGGCCGTCTGCTATGCAAGCTGGTAAATACGTGAAGGACGGTGTTAAATCCAATAATTCGATGAGTAAGGAGGTTGAAGATCAGTGTGAGAGGTAGAAAATGGTGTTAAATGCGGGCACCAGTGTTCGACAGAAGAGGTATCATGGTGAGGCCGTGGGAATGGATATGACCGAAAGTCGGGATGCAGGGGCAGTATCGAGGAAAAGGAGTGTTGATGTTGTGCTCAAGTCTTCTCCGAATGTTCCTGTCACTAATGTGGAAAAGAGCCAAAAACTTTTTGTGAGTAATATGTCTTCTTTTTCTTCTGTATCTAAAGTAGAGGGCCTTGGGGATGTCCAAGCCCTCGAAAAGCAATGAAAATATTTAGCTGAAACTGCCACGGGCTTGGCAACTCGCGTGCAGTTAGGGGCCTCGAAGACATGTGTTGGAGGGAAAAGCCAAATATTGTCTTTGTAATGGAGACTATGCTTGATGAAAAAATTCTTAATAAAATAAAAAATTGTTGTGGTTATACGTATGGTGTTTTCTTTGTAGTACTGGTAGATCCGGTGGTTTGGGAATGTGGTGGAGGGATATTAATATGCAAATAGTGTCTTACTCTATTCATCATATTTGTGCTCATGTGTTGGATGATAATAATGTTCCTATTTGGAAAGTTGTTGGAATTTATGGGTGGTTGGAATAAGCTAATAAATGTCAAACTTGGTCGCTTATGACAACTCAAAGGGCTTGATGATCTCCCTTGTGTGATGTTAGGTGATTTTAAGAAATATTGAGCCTATCTAAAAAGAAGGAGGGGTCCTGAGAAGCGAGAGGCTCATGGATGCTTTCCGAGGGGCAATTGATAGTTGTGCTATGAAAGATCTTTGCTATAGGGGTTGTACGTTCACTTGGGAAAGGGGGAATTCCATGTCAACTTTTGTCAGAGAAAGGTTGGATCGATTCCTAGCTGATGAAGGGTGGTGTTCTTTGTTCCCGGATTGTGAGGTTCGACATTTATCTATATTGAAACCAGATCATGCTCCGATAATTTTGTCAACTGAAACTAGAAGACAAGATGATTGGGGGGATTCAGGATTCAAGTTCGAACATTTCTGGTTGTCTAATGAGGGGTGTAGTGGGGTTGTGAGTGATGCATGGGTGAGTGCGGCCGGGCTCGGTATTAGACAAAAAATTGCTGTTTGTGGTGAATGTGTTGCTAGCTGAGCCGCCTTAACCTTCGGTGACATCAAAAAGTAAATCAAGAAAGCCAAAAAGGCGTTAAAGGAGGGCGCCATGGATGGTATAAAACTGGAGCAATGTCACACCATTTCAACTGAACTTGATTCTCTTTATTTAATGGAGGAGTCGTATTGGTTTGCTCGTGCCCGGGCAAATGAGCTACGCGATGGGGACAAAAATACAAAATATTTTCATCACAAGGCGAGTCAACGGAAGGCAAAAAATCGGATTGTTGGGCTCTTTGATGACAATAGGGTGTGAAAAAATAAAAAAGTTGACATCAAGAAACTGATAGCCGCATATTTTGCTAAACTCTTTGCCACTAGTTCTCCAACTGGGTTTCAAGATGCAATGGAAGGCCTGGACACTTTAGTGACAGATGAGATGAATTCATTCCTAGATAGAGAACCAACGGGGGAAGAATTTAGACAGTCTTTATTTCAAATGCACCCTAATAAGGCACCGGGCCTTGACGGTATGCATGCTTTATTTTTTCAGAAATTTTGGCATATTGTTGGATATGATATTATTGCTTATGTTCAAAAATGGTGGAATGGGAATGTGTATTTGGCGGAAATAAATAACACTTGTATTTTTCTTATTTTGAAATGTGACAAGCCAACATTAATTTCGGAATTCAGACCTATAAGCTGTTGCAATGTTATTTATAAAATCACCTCTAAGGTGTTTGCAAATAAATTGAAAAAAATTTCTTGGCGATATTATATCTCCGAATCAGAGTGCTTTTGTTTCGCAGAGGCTCATAACTGATAATTCCATTGTTGCCTTTGAAATTTTTCATGCTATGAAGAGAGGTGGTGAAGGGAAGGATGGCAATGTTGCGCTAAAACTTGATATGAGCAAAGCGTATCATAGGGTGGAATGGGTGTTTTTGGAATAGGTGATGATAAAATTGGGGTTCTCGAATATGTGGATTCATCGAATTATGTGTTATCTTAAGAGCGTTTCTTTTACTTTTAAGATAAACGGGCATATCTCGGGGTCTGTGACTCCCTCGAGAGGATTACGCCAGGGTGATCCTATTTCTCCGTACTTGTTCCTGTTATATGCGGATGCTTTTTCGACGCTAATCTCAAAAGCGGCTAATGGTAACTTAATTTACGGTGCCAGAATTTGTAGGAATGCTCCCAGGGTGTCTCACCTTTTCTTTGCAGACGACAGTATACTTTTTGCTAAAGCAAGAGTGCAAGAATTCTCGGTTATAGCTGATATAATCAACAAATATGAGAGAGCTTCGGTTCAGAACGTCAATTTAAGCAAAACTGAAGTTGTTTTTAGCAAAAATGTAGACCAAAATCGAAGGCAAGAGATTATTCAAATTTTGGGTGTTAGGGAGGTTGAACGACATGAAAAGTACCTTGGGTTGCCCACTATCATTGGAAGATCGAAAAAAGCAATTTTTGCGGGGTTGAAGGAGAGATTATGGAAGAAACAACAGGGTTGGAAGGAAAAGATGCTTTCGAGACCGGGAAAAGAGGTGCTTATAAAAGCGGTAGATCAAGCGATTCCTAACTATATGATGAGCATTTTTAAACTTCCGGATGGATTTATTGATGATATCCACTCCATGCTTGCGAGGTTTTGGTGGGGTTCTACGGAGACTATAAAGAAGATACATTGGCAACGATGGGAAAGCTTATGTCAACCCAAAGCTCTTGGAGGGTTGGGCTTTAAAGATCTGAAATGGTTTAACCAAGCGTTATAGCAAAACAATTATGGAGACTTCACCATAAGCCTGGGCACACTTATTCACACAATTCTAAAGGCGAAAGATTTTAAGAATTGTGAGGTTCTTTAGGCTACGTGTGGCTATGACCCACGATATGTTTGGAGGAGTATGTGGGTGCACGGGATGTGTTACTTGAGAGCCTTAAGTGGAGAGTGGGTAATGGGAGTGCTATAAATGTGTGGGATGAAGCTTGGCTACCTGGAAACTCTTCGGCAATAGTTCCATCTCCAAGTGCTAACAGTGATATGGGGCTGAGTAAGCGACCTTATTGATCATAATTGTGGTGAGTGGGATGCGAGTATAATTTCAAACACTTTTAACAGTGAGGATGTGGCAAGAATAAATGATGAAGAGATGAAAATGGTGAATTTGGTTGAGAATTTTATTACAATAAATACCAAGTATTCAAGAGACTTGATCCTCTAACAAAGCTAATTAAAGCTATATTAAACTTCTGAATTCTTCTTGTGATCCCCTCTTCCTACCCTCTATTTATATAGACATCCTGATTTTCACATTTCTTTTAGCTTACTCTCTGCCTTCTTCCTCAAGCACTTAGCTGATTCATTGTGCAATCCTAATTGTTACCTCCTATATCTAGTTCATTACACATTTACACAATATCATCAAAATTTATGCTGCAATTTCCACTTGATTAGCAAATAGCAATTTTATGTTGACAGCCAACTCACATACAAAAGAAAACCGAATATAGAGATTATCATAACATAATCAGATGAATGCATTGGATTTCATGATTCCTGTAGGCAACATCTCACATGAGACTGCCTCACAATAAGTAAATTTTTACAAGATGATTCAAGGTGGCAACTCATAATGTCTTGTACAATGTAATAAAACGGTTAGCTCTTCATCCAACTACAAGACTAAACATAAAAATGGAAGTAAAAACAGTATGCTAATTACCTAAATAATGGTAATGACTTATAAAATTAGAAAATGATGGTAAGGCTTAAGGATTAGGAGAGACCATTTACCTATTCCAATATTGAAAAATAGATGCAGTCCAACTACGCAAAGAGAAACTGGAAGAAGCGTTTATTCTCCTCTAAGGATTAGGAGAGACCATTTACCTATTCCAATATTGAAAAACAGATGCAGCCCAACTACGCAAAGAGAAGCTGGAAGAAGCGTTTAGTCTCCTCTGAGTTTTAAGAAACTCACGAGCCTCAATATTCTTCTAGATCTCCTCCTCTTTCAGCCTGAAATCCAACACAGGAGAGCAAGTGAGCTCCTCATTAGCCATAAAAAGAAGTAACTAAATTGAGATAACAAAGGATTGAGGAGAGAAAGTAACCTCCTCCTACACCAACGCTGCCACCCAATAGATATACAGATTTGAGGAAAGATATAAGCTGAAAATGTCAAGCCCTCTAAACAAGAATCAGTTTCTTATTTTATATTATTGAACCAGTCCAGGTCCTCGATCTAAAGGCTAAATCTATACAAGGCATTAGAAGCAAAAACAATGTAAACAATCTTCACAAGAACAACAATCAATTCAATTCTTCTTCTACCCTTACAAAGTGTCATGATGCAGCAGTTTGATGTTAAGAAAATTCTTCAATACCTTTTATGTACCATCATGGCTATACTAAGTCACAAACAAATTCAAAGCGACAATCAAAATCGAGAATTGCTACTAAATTAATGTACAAATACAAAATACTCATTAAAATTGAGAATAAAGGGATATTTTAACCCAAACAAAAAATCAACCTATCCCATTAAATATAATTATCGATAATTTATTACATTACGGTCTATAGGATAAAACATACTGAACTTAAGAGAGAATGTTTAATATACTAAGTTATTGACTCAATTAATTTTAAAGACATATAAAAACACATTACCTTGCTAGATATATATGAGTTTAAGAGAGAAAATTGAAATTCGATGATATATATATACACATTACCTTGATAGATGCATCAATGTAGGAAAATCTCAGAAGTTCATTCAATGGAAGGAACCCAAACATATATATCTAATTATAAGAGATAAAAGAACAAAATTTCAGGTAAAATCTTAAACCAAGAATAATTTAACAGAAAACAAAGAATATAAATATAATTAGCCTCCCAAACCCCAACCTCCCTCACACACCCAAAGTCGCAACAATCAGCTACATCCAATTCTCAACCACACCACGCCCATATGACCACTTTTGGATCAAATTGCACAAATAAATTCATTTTTCCCTCTAAATAGAAATCCAACAGTACCCATAAATAAATAAAACCCTAAATCCCAGAATTCAAATTCATCAGATTAAACACCCAAAAAAACCTGAGAAATGGACTAAACATAAATGAACAAAGAATGATACCTGCCAAAGAATGAAAGGATACTGAAAATTGAAGGCGTTGGAGGATCGAGGAACACACTTAATGCTGCTCTTTTGCTAGCCGTTAACTTTATCGCTTCCGTTCCCATTCAAGCTCCCTTCTTCACGAACAAAGAAGAAATCATCTGGAAAAACAGTCAAAATGGGATTTTTACATGAGAAGAATTTCAGCAAAATAAGCTTAATTATAAGTAAAAGAGGGTTCTTTACTCTATGCCAAATGAATAAGGAACCCTCTTTTTCATATACTCATACAAAAATCTGTTTAATAACTGCAAGCGTTCAATCTTCCCATATTTATTAAAATCATGGCATAAATTATAGATATGTGGAGCTTTAAAAAAAAATCTGAAAATTAACCGAAGAGCAACAATTCCAGGATGGTAACGATGAGAGTTATCGACTCTTCCAATAGTCTCATCTCCATAATAAAGATGCTAACTTTAGTGAAGTTCTATAATCCCTAAATATCTACCCCTAAATATCTCAATTTTTAAATCAAAATCAATCTTTACCCCACAACCACCACTCTATTTGCAACTAACACCCACCAATAATATTGGATTTTTATGCTATAATTAGCAATATGTAATTGGAAAATAAAACAATAGAAAACATTGAGAAAAATTAGGAAGCAACAAATTATGAAGCCGAAACTACCTAAAGATCTGAGTTTAAAGCTCTTAACAAACCCATAAACAATGCTATTGAAGCTTAGACTGTCAATTTTTGAAAACATATCATTGACGAAGATTAAACTAATTAGATCCAACAAAAACAAAATCTAAGTTAAAACAAAATCAGATCCAACAAAAATAGACAAAACTAATGACATTGAAAGAATAAACTAATATAAACAGAAAATCACAGGCAGAAGAAATGAGGCAGTACCATTTAAGACATCTCCACACAAAATTTGACATGCATTACGTTTCTGCAGCATGATGCAGAAGACATGAACCACTATTTCAATCAAAAAATTAAAATGTGAAAATCCCACATAATTAAACAATAAAAACATCCTATTTCTAACCCCAAACCCCTAATAAGCAACGCATCACCCCCATTCTACATTCTCCAAAATTTCCACCCATATCATAATCAATAATTCATAGAAAATGCATAAATCTACACTAATTCAGCAATAAATCAACACACAACCAAAGTCAAAACACGTTTTAGTACACAAAACAATATCCAGATAACTCAGATCCCAACAATTCCAAAAAAAAATAAAAAATCATATGTTTAATTCAGTAGCAACCAGAACTTAAAATCTCAATTCTAGAATCACATCCAAATAAACACTAACCTAGTTCAAAATTCACTCAAAAACTATTAAAAAAAATCCTAGAAGACAGTTTTTCAAAAATCAGGACCTGCCAAGGACACCATTAACTCAAGCTTGCGTCCAGTGACTTGAAGATCTAGATTATTGACTTATACTCGAGCCATAATTCCTGAAACTTGATACCTGAAAAAAATTGACAAGAAATTAGGGGTTGACCTTATAAACGGCAAAATTAATCCAAAATAAAACCCATAAATCCCTTTTAAAACCCTAGATTAAGAAACTTCACTAACAGAATTAGACATACCCAAAATGCAAGTGAGTAAATTGATCAAGAGGTCCCGACATTAATTTTTTATCAAATTGAACCCTAAAATATTCAATCCACAGATATTAATGAAATTGGTTCCCATTTTTTTCTCAAAATAGATCGAAGTAAATCTAATAATAATTCACAAAGATTAAATCCGATTTTAAAATGGAAACGTGATGATTGAAAAACACATTACCTTGTAAGCTACTTCAATAAATGGGAAACCTCAGAAATTGCTTTAATGGAGGAACGGAAAAAGCTCAGAAGTTGCTTTAATGGAGAAAAAAATACTGAGTAAGAAAGTCTCATATTCGATAATTAAATAATAAAAAGAAAATAATTTTACCTCAAAAGCTATTTCCATGGAGGATCAATGAACATGGAGTAAGGAGAGGAGAGAGAAAGCAACTGAGTAGAGAAAAGGACTGATCTGATCCAAAGAAAACCAAAGTAGCATGCCTTAGGGCCTGTTCATATTTACTGAAATGAGCTGAACTGAACTGATTGGAGCTGAACTGAACTAAACTGAACTGATTGAAGATGAACTGAATTGAACTGAGCTGAAATGAATATTTTAGAAGAGAGGGAAATTAGGAGCTGAACTGAATTGAACTGATCTGTTTGAAGCTAAATTGAACTGAACTGAACTGATTGGAGCTGAATTGAACTTAACTGAAATTAAGTAAATATGAACAGGCCCTTAGTTAGTTAAAGGGTAAAGACGTCAATAAACTTTTTTTTTTTAGTTTTTTAGGGGTAGAATATCAGTACACTGTTCATAAGAATATACCCATTTTGTAACCAATTTGGCGTTTAAGGTGGATAGATTCTTCGACCCTTCTTTTTTTCTCTATAAATAGAGGTCATATCACCCCTTTTTTCAATCATCAATAAGCTTGATCACAAAATATCTTTTCTCCCTCTTTAGCCTAAATATTTGTCACCCTATTCTTCCATAATACTTCCCCTAAGCACTCCAAGGAGTTCATACAATATCCAAAGTTATATACTAAGACCAAGGCGCGAAAGGTATAATTAACTGAGGGTTTGGACCAAATCAAATCTACATTTATTTAATTTAATTTCCATTTGATTTATTTTTATTGAAGTTACTAACGGTTTATTCATGATGTAGCAATTTAAAGGAACGTGCGGAATGTGAGTAATTAATTAATTTAATTACTCTTATTTTATTTTAATATTGCTAGTATCATGATTAGGGTTATTTTATATTTTATTTGACTAACGCTATTATTGTTAAATTGCTTCCAATATTAATGTTTATTCTATTGTTATTATGATCACTATATTGCATGTTAAAGGGAATATGTAATTGAAAATCACGCCTAATAAGATAATTTGGACAACCGGTTTAGGTTCCTGTTTAATCTTGTTATTTAATTCAAGTGATCAAAAATATTTTTGAATTATGTGATGCATTAATATTTAACCAATTCAGCCTAACAATAGTTTGGAGCAAATTGAATATTTTGTTTGTATGTCTTTGAGATCGCAGGAATCACTTTTCACTATAAGAATCGAGTAGAGGCCAATATGGGCGAATGTGACTCCATGACTCACTTTGTACCATCATCCCCGATCCTCCTTTCGTGGTTCCGAACCATATGGAGTTAGTAATCTCATGGATTATGAATGGGGTGTAACCTTCACGGGTGAATTGTTGTTGCCTTTGTTGTCCCTTTATTCGTGGTTGCCTTAAATGATCTGTGAACGGTTTACAAGTTCCTTAAAAACTTGTTGGCGGCTCCCTACTTTCCTTGTCCCTAGTTGTATTATGTCAATTCCCACTTCCTATGAGTGCCAAGCACATTCACCACATGCTTTAACGTAGGCGCACTTCAAACGACGCCTACAATTTGGCGACTCCACTGGGGAGGATTCTTGGTTACTTATTGTAGGCGTCGTTCGAAGTGCGCCTACGTTAAAGCATGTTGCATGTGAATATGCTTGGCACTCTTAGGAAGTGGGAATTGACGTATATGATTAGGGACAAGGAAAGTAGGGAGCCGCAAACAAGTTTTTAAGGAACTTGTAAACCGTTCACGGATCATAAAAGGCAACCACGATAAAGGGACAACGATAGGCAACAACGATTGACCCGTGAAGGTTACACCCCATTCGTAATCCATGAGATTAATAACTCCATATGGTTCGGAACCACGAAATCAGGATCGGGGATGATGGTACGAAGTGAGTCATGGAGTCACATTCGCCCGTATTGGCCTCTACTCGATTCTTATAGTAAAAAGTGATTCCTGCGATCTCAAAGGCATGAAAATAAAAATTCAATTTGCTCCAAACTATTTTTAGGAAATTTTAGATTTTAACACCACACAAAAACCCGAAAATGGTTTTTAACACCTTCATAAAAAAAAATTGATTTTAACACCACACAAACTAACAAAAAATTGGTATTACCACCACTTTACGGATTCCTAAACGGAATCAGTTAAGTGCCACGTGTTGCTTTCTTATTGGACAAAAAAATAAAAAGACCTAAAACTATCCAGCCACCCCAGCCCCACCGCCGCGCCACCACCACCTAACCACCCACCCACCTCTGCCCTCCCAAAAACCACCACCAGCGACGCCTTCGCTCACCCAACCTAGCTGAAACCTACCCCTCCCTTTCCCGCAACCGCTTTGCTCCCAAAAACCACCTAACCCAAAACCCTCCTTCCCTAATACGGTCACGATTCCGACCAAAAATGGTCGAAATCGACCGATTAAGGAAAATCAACCCCAAAACCGGCCGATTTCGTCCATTTGTGGCCGGAATCGCGATTGTATTGGGGAAAGAGATTTTGGGTTTAGTCGTTTTTGGGGGCGAAGCCATTGCGGGAAAGGGAGGGGGAGGGTTCATCTGGGTTGGGGGTGTGAAGGCGTCGCGGCCGGTTGTGGTTTCGGGGAGGGAAGGGGTAGGTCTGTGGTTGGCGGTGGTGGCGCGGTTGTGGGGCTGGGGTAGTTTTAGGGTTTTTTTATTTTATTTTTCTTAAAATTTTTTTTAAACAACAAAAATGGTGACATGTGTCACTGAGGACCCCACTTAACGGAATTTTTGGACGGAATCCGTTAAGTGGTGGTAATACAATTTTTTGTTAGTTTGTGTGGTGTTAAAATCAATTTTTTTTATGGAGGTGTTAAAAACCATATTCGGGTTTTTGTGTGGTGTTAAAATCTTAAATTTCCCTATTTTTATGCTAAATTGGTTGAATATTAATGCAACATATTATTCTAAAATATTGGTGATCACTTGGTTTAATAACAAGATTAAAAAGGAACCTAAACTGGTTGTCCAAATTATCTTATTAGGCGTGATTTTCAATTACATATTCCCTTTAAACATGCAATATAGTGATCAATAAATAACAATAGAATAAACATTAATATTGGAAGCAATTCAACAATAATATCGTTAGTCAAATCAAATAATAAACCTAATCATGATTCTAGCAACAAGAATAAAAATAAGAGTAATTAAGTGATTAACTACTCACTTTCCGCGCTTCCTTTCACGCCTTGGTTTAAGCATAGAACTTTGGGTATTGTATGAACTCCTTGGAGTGCTTAATTAGGGGAAGTATTTTGAGAGAATAGGGTTGCTAGTATTTAGGCTAAAAAGGGAGAAGAGAATTATTTTATGATCAATCTTGTTGATGATTGAAAAAGGGGTGATATGACCTCTATTTATAGGGAAAAAAGAGGGTCGAAGAATCAAGAAAAGATCGAGTTCGAATCGGATTTAAACTCTTGCGATAGACAACAATTTTTGCGGTTTTTGTTTTTATCATATCTTTTGATCCAGAAATTGGAATAAGATAAATAAGATATAGTTGGAAAGCACTTGAAGTATACTTTTTAATCCAATCTGAATCAGATTAAATTATTTTGTAGAATAAAAGATATAGCCTAAATAGTGAGACGGTGTCAATTTTGGATAGAGTTTGACATTTTATTCATATCTTTTCCGTTATAGCTCGGAATTGATATTATAATATATCATTGGAAAGATAATTTCAAGGGCTATCCAATAATACAAAAATTTGGATAAAAAATATGAGGCACGAAAATAATATTTGTCTATCTTTGAATGTCTTTCAATTCGGAGAATTAGGACTTTCAAAAAAGGAGTTTTATTCAATTTCAAACTCTTTAATCTTATCTTTTCAAAAAGGATAATTAAGATCTTTAGAAACTTATAGAAGCTTCTAATTAATCCTAATTGGTTTAGGAATGGGATTAAATAATTTGAACCCTCCACATGATCATTGGGTGGTAGGTATGGTGGGCTTAGGTTCGGTTTGGGCTCAGTTTAATATTTTGATCATAACTTATTCGTTATGACTCGGATTTGGGCTTATAATATATCGTTGGAAAGCTCTTTTCAAGCCCCATCCAAATATTTAATCATTGGACCCAGATTATGGACCAAAATAAACTGGATTAACGTTTTATAAAAATGGCACGAAATGAATGATTTTAAAGGACATGAAATGAAAAATTTTGGGTTTATAGGCACGAAAAGAGGAAAATAAGTTATGGTTTGGAAAAAATGGGATAGGATTTGGGTTGGTTTATGAAATGGAAATATGGATTTAAGCACTCCAAGATTAAATACTCAACTCGACCAATAATGGCAGTGAAAGGTTGTTCATCATCGGGTTTGGTTTTGGGGAGACATTTTTAGGTGTCTACAGAAGCCCCCACTTTGACTGAGTTTGTAGAAACGTTAGTTTCAAAAACGATAGTCAAAGTATTCAATAGGGACGGAGAATGATTTAAGACGTTCTGCGATCCTAAATCACTATGTATACGCCGATACCTGCAAAAAATGTTAATTCCACAAATAAAAGAGTAAAGGGATATAACGCTTATCTGACACCAGTGTATCGGTGACAAATGAGTTTGTTATTTTCCTATGCTTGAAGGAATCCACTGGATGACGTTTGTTGAAATGCTTTCCATGCTTGAGGAAAGCCGACAGATGAGTTTGGTAGCTTTCTAAGCCTGAAGAAACCTACCGGATGACACTTTCCATGCTTGAGGAATGTCGACATATGATTTTGGCGTTTTTCTATGCTTGAAGAAATCCACCGATAATGCTTTCCATGCTTGAGGAAAGCCGACAAAGGAATTTGGCGGTTTTCTATGCTTGAAGAAATCCACCGGATAATACTTTCCATTCTTGAGGAAAGTCGAAAGATGATGAGATTGCAAGTCTCTGTGTATCAAGAACCTTGCGTCATGAAATGATGGTGGTTTGATTGTCCCCGAACGTGGGCTGTAGATGGTTCGCTTGTCCCCGGACGTGGGCTGTAGTTGGTTCTCTTGTCCCCAGACGTGGGTTGTAAATGGTCCGCTTGTCCCCGAACGTGGGCTGTAGATGGTCCGTTTATCCCCGGACGTGGGCTGTAGATGGTCCGCTTATCCCTGGACGTGGCTGTAAATGGTCCGCTTGTCCCCGGACGTGG